AGAGAGGCGAGGAACGGGCCCGCAGCCCGGGAGTGGGGAGGGAGGCGGGCGGCCAGGGCAGCGGAGCGAGGAGGGGGAATGGGAGGGAGAGCGAGGAGCCGCAGCAGGACGCCGAGGACGCCACCCATCTCCCTCGCCGTGTGCCCCTCCCGAGGGGCCCTGGCCCTCCCTGCCCCCCGTCCCGGGGGGCAGCCCCGTGGAGCCGCCGACGACACGCACACACGCGAGGAGGAGGAGGAGGAGGAGGAGGAGGAGGAGGAGGAGGACGAGGAGGAGGAGGAGGGAGGAGGAGGAGGAGGAGGGGAGGGGGAGTGGAGTGGAGAGAAAGGGGGAGAGAGAGAGAGAGAGAGGGGGGAAAGGCAAAAACACAAAGAGAGAGAGAGAGAGAGAGAGCGCAACAAAAGATAGAGAGAGAGAGAGAGAGAGAGAGAATGAGAGAGAGGGGAGAGAGGAGGAGCACGAGGTGGAAGGCGAGCGATGAACAGGCCCGCAGCCGGGGAGGGGGGAGGAGGGCGGCGGGAGGCCAGGTGAGGGGGAGGGGGGGGGAATGGGGCAGGGAGAAAAGCGGCAGCGGGACGCCGCGGGGAGGCGAGGACACCCTGGCAGCAGCCGCGAGGGCGCGCCGCCCTGCGGCGCCGCCCCCGAGCCTCCCGTCGCCGTCGTCGTCGTCGTCGTCGTCGTCGTCGTCGTCGTCGTCGTCGTCGTCGTCGCCTCCTGCTCCTCCGCATCGTCGTCGTCGGCATCGGCGTCGTCACCACCACCACCACCACCATCGTCAGCATCAGCTTCCTCTTCCTCGTCCTCCTCCTCGTCCTGCGACTAGGTCTCGTGCCTCTCTTCGTCCCTCCTCCTCATGCGCCTGCTCCTCGCCCCTCCTCCCTCCTCCCTGCTGTCCCCGCCGCTGCGACAAGCCCTCGCGCTGCTGCCCCTCCTGCCTGCTCCCCCTGCCGAAGATGCTGCTGTTCCTCCTCCTCCTCCTCCTCCTTTTCCTCCTCCTCCTCCTCCTCCTCCTCCACAATTACTCAATATGAATACTACTTTCCCTCTTCCCCTGATGACGTTTTGGGAATACTCGCCCCCCCACCGCGTCTTGTTTTTTTATTGTTTGCACACAGGTTCCCCAAAATTGGGTTTTCGCCTGCATTTTTTTCCAAAATGCTGCTCTCGCTGAGGCGCCGGCCTCATTTTCGGGCCCCGCGCTCGTTCCGAATCGTGCTCCTGCTGCAGCGCTGGCATCATTTCCGCCGGCGCCCGGGCTGCACGCCCGAGCCGGCGCCCGGGCCGGCGCCCAGGCCGGGTCCGGAGCCGGTTCCGGCCGGCGCCGGAAAATCGAGTTCCGAGGCGGCGCCGGAAAAAGGCAATTCTAATACACATTTTTCTTTTGAAAATACTGAATTTCTTCTTGGCCTCCCGGGCCGATTCCGACGCCCAGGCCGGCGCCCGAGCCGGCGCCCGGGCCGGACGCCCGAGCGGGCGCCCGGGCTGGCGCCCGGGCCGGGTCCGGAGCCGGTTCCGGTCGGCGCCGGAAAATCGAGTTCCGAGGCGGCGCCGAATGAAGGCCATTCCAATACAATTTTTTCTTATGAAAATGCTGAATTTCTGCTGCTGGCGCCCGGGAAGCCTTCCCCGGAGTTAGGTTTTCGCTTGCATTTTTGTCCCCAAATGCTGCTCTCGCTGAAGCGCCGGCCTCATTTTCGTGCTTCCGCTCGTTCCGAATCGTGCTCTCGCTGCAGCGCTGGCCTCATTTCCGTGCTTCCGCTCGTTCCGAATCGTGCTCCCGCTGCAGCGCTGGCCTCATTTCCGCGCTTCCGCTCGTTTCGACTCGTGCTCCCGCTGCAGCGCTGGCGTCATTTCCCGTGCCATGCCACGGCATGCAATGCAATGCCAGGTTGATACTACGCTTCGCGGTGCTCTTCTACGCCATGCCATGCCGTGCTCTTAGAGGAAAGAGAACTATGCACATACACCGATTCTGGCCAGGCCCATCCTGAGTCCAGGATCGGTGCATACGCCCTCTTACCTTGGCCAGGAAGGTATATGCACCGATCCTGGGTCAAGGATGGACGTCGTCAGGATCGGTGCATGTGCATAGTTCTCTTTGCCCGAGCTCTACAATGCATCGCGCACTCTTTCGGGATCATCGCCCTGCTTGACATCCGACTGTGCGAGTAGAGAGGGGATCTGCGCCATGGTAAGGGATGGGAGGGAGGGGTAGGATGTCAGATATGACGCGAGCGCACCTAGCTTGTCCTCCGTCCCCTCCTCCGCCCCCTCCTCCGCCCCCTTCCTCCTCCCGGCCGACGGGCCTGCTCCCGCTTATACAGATGCATGCCGTCCCGCGAGGACGCGGACAGCGTGATGCGCCAGCTCCGGGCGTACTCTTCCTCGCCCTGCCGCCGGATGTAGACTTTGCCCAGCGGGGTCTCCTTCACAAAAAGGTGACCGTCGGCGAACTTCCCGGCGCCCCGGTAGACACCGTTCACATCCTGCAGGCCTCGGGGAGGAGGACGAGGAAGGAAGGAGAGGAGAGGGTGAGGTGGAGAACGCAAGAGGGGAGGAAGGAGAAGAGTGCAGATAAGGCGAATGAAAGGAAGGATGACAGGAACAAGGGGATGGAGAGGCGGCGAAGGAGGGGGCGGCGAACAGGAAAAGACCAAGAGGAAGGAGAGGACGAGGGGGAGGATGATCGTCGTCCTCCCCAGAGGGAAGCCTCACATGCTCCAGGCCTCGGAAGTTTCCTCCCCTGCCCCAAGTCTGCGACTGCTGCCGTTACTCCAACTCCTCCAACTCTTGGGCGAGAACCATCCTCCCCGTGGGCAAGAACATCCCTACATCCTTCACGGGTGGATGGTCGCTCCTTTTCCAAAATGTGGCTCTCGCCTTAGCGCCGTGCACGCTCGTGTTGTTAAAAGAGTGCATGAGTTTCGCGGATGGACTTCGGGTGTTTTTCAAAATGAGCGCCGCGCGCACGTATTCAAAATTTGCTGGGGCTTCACGGATGGATGGTAGTTTCTTTTTTAAGTGGGGCTCTCGCGTTAGCGCCGCGAACAAACGCTTTAAGAATGCACATGAGTATCACGGATGGAGGGCGGGTGGGTTTCAAAATATAGACTCGCCTGAGTGCCGCGCACACTCGTTGCACAGAACTTAAACAGGTTGACGGATTGTTATGGTTCGCCGTCCCAGGATTGGTGTTCCAGCACGATTTGCGATTGTCAGGGCCCAACAGTAACATTGATTCGCGGTGTGGAAGTCTCAGGCATGGAGTTCTGGCAAGATTAAGTAGCGTCAGGACGCGTCGGACGCAGCAGTAAAGTTGATTCGCGGCGTTGAAGTCTAAGGAGTTGTGCTGGTACGGTTGAGGACTCCCAGATGGTTGTCTTCCAACGGAACTCTTCAAGAAGTGGCCATGCATCCCTGCAGAGACCTATATGAGGGGGGAACGTGGAGGGAGGGCATATTGCAACATCGTTGATGCGTCTCTGCGTACACTGGTCCTTCTGATTCCTGATTTCTGATGGCGTGTCTCCGACTGCCGCCCCCCAGGGACGGCAGTCCCTGGGGGGGTGATCAAACTAAAGCCAAGTGACCCTTGGAGCATCGCTCAAACGATCACCGGCTTCCTCGTGTTCGAACGTGAAGAGGGACAAACAGATAGAAGGGGGGGAGAGGAAGGAGGGAAGGAGGAGTGGAGGGAAGGCTCCTCCTCCTCCTCCTCCGCCTCCTCCTCCGCCTCCTCCTCCTCCTCCTCCGCCTCCGCCTCCTCCTTCTCCTCCTCCTCCTCCTCCTCCTCCTCCCTCCTCCTCGCCCCCCATGGGGTGGCGGCTCGCCTGCCCCTCTTACATTCAGGCGCCTGACCCTGCGCTCGCGCTTCTCTCGCGAACCTCGCGGCGGGCGAGCTCGCGGCTGTCTCCGCCGCCACCGCCGTCGTCGGTCGACGTCCGCGCCGGCGCGAACGTCGCCGACACCGTCGTCGCCGTCGTCAGTGTCCTCGAGCGCGTTTCTTTATTTTCGGCGATAATGGGCATTACAGGGGGGAGAAGGGGGCCGGGGGGGGTATAATGTAACGCCTCCCCCCCGCCGTGTGCCCGATGCGCACGGTGGCAGTGCCCGGAGCGCACTGGGGGTGGGAGGGGCGTTACGTTATAGGGGGGGGAGGGGGGGTCGGGGGCCATAGTGCCCATTATGCCCCAAGCATTATGCATGTTGTTCTTGACGTCGGATCTCAGGGTCTCCCCCCCATGCGAGTGAGGAGAAGGGCGGGAGGAAAGTGGGGAAATAATGGGAGTGGGCACTGATTGCACGTGTACGTCCAGGACCCTCGTCGAAAACACGGGCGATCGGGCTGGTGGGTTCAGCTGCAATGTGGCAAAAAAAAAGTGGGTCAAGAAGGTAAGCCCTTTCGCTCGATGTCCAAGGCTACGCGGAGACACTCGAAGCGACGAGCAGTCCACGGTGGGTGACCCAAAACGCGAGGGAGAATATGAAGGCACTCGCCGAAAGCCAGGAGTGCTATTCGCCTGACCCTCGCGCCGGCTGTACAACTCTCTGCCAGCGCGGACCCCTCGACGTCACACGACTCCACCGGGCAAGCGACGCTACGCTTGAGTCGGGCGTTGTGTCCTAATAGCTAGCATCCACATGTTTTATGTTGTTCGACATGTGCTTCGATTTCGACGTTGTGCAATTCGGGTGAAAAACAATATGCCCTTTGATTACCTCGCCCAGAAACGTCGAACTAAAACTACATGATCAAATCCTACGTTGTTGGTGTTGGTCCCGCTCGCAGAAGTGTCGATGTCTGCGTTGCTGACATCTCACTGTGTTCTCGAAGCGTCGATTTGGAGATTGGGTAACTCTCCAGACACGTTTGACGTGTCATGTTCGGCCTTCGCCGACACTGCTGAATTGCGGGGGCGCCGCCGCGTCGTCACGGCACGAGGCGTGGGCGCTGGACCCACGGATCGGAGGCACGAGGGCCCCCGAAGCGCGGTGCCGGCGCCGCCCTGTGCGGCGACGGAGCGCGCCGGTGCGGCGCGGGAACGGGGGCCCGTCGCTGCTCCGCGCGCGCCCTCGACCGTGTCTGTGAGCACCGCTCGGCCGAGCCACGTTCCCACCAGCGCGGGCCGGGCCCCACTGGCCGATTGGCCCCCCCCCCTGATGGGGCACAGGCTGCGCTCTTCGGGCTGCAAGGGGCACAGCCCTCACTGAGGTGGCGAGGCGGTGGGGCGCGAGGTGTGGACGGGAATGGGGATAGAGATCGGTTGAACGATACTGAGGCTGTGCTCCCTGTCGTCCGCGGGGCCAGCGCCCCGCAGTCGCCCGCCCGCCCCATGAACTGCTGCTGGCGACCATCCCGTACTCTTGGGACATCCGCTGGAAGTCCTGCGGGCGGGGAGGGGATCGCAGAGGGGAGATGTGGCATGAAGGGGGAGGATTAGGTCGGGCATGTCCTCCCAATTACAGGCGGCTTTGGAGGAAAATGCAAAAGACGGCCCCAAAAGTACACCAAAATGGCAAAACAAAGGTCGAAAAATCATGCCGTCTATTTTTTCACTATTTTTGAATATTCCTCCTGTAGATGGACAGGCCCGACTTCAGGGGAGGAGGCTGTGACAGGAACGGAGGGTGGGGGGAGAGAGGAGGGTGTCGGTGGGGGTGGACAGGGGGACGGTGATGGGAGGATCAGGGAGGCCGAGAAGCAGGATGGGGGAGGGAGACAACGGGGGGGACCTTGCCTGCGCCATGGAGGAGACAGGCAGCCGTCATGACACGGCCCAGAAAGTAGCATTGTGTTCGTGTTGTGCGCGTAAACTCATGGTGACGTTAGAAGAAGCCACACTCTAAATGCACCCACTGTCTTTCCCTTGGTTTTTCGGGCGTTAGCAAGACTGGGTTTAGTGGAACCTGGTTCAGCGATATGTACCTATGGACGCACCCCCGCACCCCAATCCACTAACCAGAACTGCCGTCACCCGAAAAACACCAACTACGGCAGACCTGGCTAAGCGATGTTGGTAAATTCGGAGCTTCGAGGACCAATCGCTAACCAGCTCCACTTACCCAGGGTCCTGGCTATATCCGATTCTTGAACGGTTCAATAGAGGAGGGCGATGGTGCAGAAACAATTCATCCAGAATAGCTCCGCGGATCTTTGCACTTTTTGTCCGCCACCGTGCCTCTGGGCACGGAGTGGGCGTGTCCTCAGGTCCTTTGCCTAATCCCCTGAGCCTCAGTCCTCAATCCTGAAGATTCCTCAGTGGCCAGGAGCCCAAATTGCCAAATCTACCAGGCTCGCCGCGTCGCGTCGGGGCCAAGAAGGCCCACACATGAGCCCAGAGGGCCCCAAGAGGCCCCAAACACGGTCCAAGAGAGCCCCGAGTCGCCGAACGATCGCCCCAAGACGCCCAAGTTGGGCTCAAGATGGCCCCAGAAGCCTTCAAAACGCAACAAGCGGCCTCCCAAGAGGGCCCCAAGGGGCAACAGTCATTGATGTCCTCAGGCTTTTCAAGGTTCTTGGCGTTCTCGCCTTTTCGGCTTCCCAGCGCTCCTAGACAGCACAAGAGGCTTCCAAGATCGCCTCAAGACGGCCCCCAAGTCCCAAGGCCCCCTAAGAGGCCCCAAGAAGGCCTAAAAGTGCCCCAAGACTGCCCAAGTGGCGAGAGGGCCCAAAGACGGCTCCAAGAGGGGGCCCAGATGGGGGCCCCGAGCGAGCATTTCGAGCCCTCGGCCACTAAGGCCTACATGCGGCCCCAATAGGCCCTCAAGAGGCCCCGAGAGGCGCCCAAACCCAGGAGGTCCCCAAGAGGCCCCAAGAGGCTCCAAAACTGTCCCCTAAGAGGCCCCCAAGGGCGCTCCGGAAAGACCCCAAGAAGCATTCCTGAGAACTCTGACCCCCTACCAAGGCAAGGTGGGTCGAAGGCCATTACATAAGCTAGTGCGAATAGCAATGCATCCGCCATCTTTCCGCTGGGGTTTGGCATTATTCGTAATATGATGCGAAAGCAACATAGATTCGCAGCGTTTCTGGAAATGCTTCGCTCAACAGCTTGCCTGCAAGGGCTATTTATCGTGTGTTCTAAGCAACTAGCAGATGTGCTGCCGGATCCGGTATCGGTCGGGCGGAGTTATATCCGAGTTTCCCCGATGTTAGCTTTAGTGCTTGCATGAGTGCTTGCATCAGAATTAGAATGATAATCACTATGTGTAGTCGCATTCGGATTGGCAGTCCTGCTCGTATTAGCGCTAATATTCATACTCGGCTCAGTGTATTACCTGACTGGTTAGTAGTCGTAATAGTAGACTGCATACGACACAGCATGAATGGTCGCAAGATGAGTAGTAACACCCTTTTGCGCGCGCCGCCCCTCCCGAGGTCCCCCCATCCGAGCGCCCAGGCGACCCCGCCGCTCTGTCATGCCCGCGTCCTCCCCGTCTGGTCCCTGGAGCCATCGGTCGTTTCTCGACGGTCCCTGGGCCCCCGAGAGACCGAAAACGGCCAGCAGTGACGAGAACGATGGCGGGGGGGACTGGCTCAGGGGAGGAACGCTGACTCGGAATGGGTGATGCATCGCCGATAGGTCGGCGATGGGCCCCAGATGGCGAAACCGCACGTTCATGGTCGGGGTGGGCTATCTGGTCTATATCGGCGATGAGTGGGCGATTGAGGCTCGATGCTCCCCCCCTGAGTTTATAGGTCGCCCGTGGAACAGCAGTCCGTCGTGATCTCTTCGCGGCGTCAGGAAGCCTGGACCCGTGCGCCGGCAGGGTGCGATTTGCGAGCTGACGGAACTGGTACGACGGACGGACGGCGCAGCCATCCCTCCCCGGCGGCGCTCTGCCACACCATGGAGGGCGTGAAACTTTCTAAACATCTGGGGGAAATGCGAGGCGAACGAAGATGGAAAGCGAGAAGTAGTGTTTGGTCGGGCATGTCCCCCTGCAGGCGGACTTTGGGCGAAAATGAAAAAGTGAAAACAAATGTGTTTAACTATCTTACCTAATTTTGACTATGATTGTATTTTGACTATTTTACCTATTGTAACTATTTTTGAATACACGTCGGTCGGAAGAAGTAGGTAAAAACATGAAGTAGGAAGGCGCATAAAGATGGTTGGGTCCAGGCCCCCCAGAGAATAACAAAACACAGCAAAAGCGTGTCGATTCTTGAAGTAGGAAGGCGCTTGAAGTAGATTGGGATCTGGGAATCCAGAAATACTTACTTTCAACGACCGCCGTGTATTCCTCCTGTAGAAGGACATGCCCGACTTGTGCAACGCTATCGCTTCACCACGTGGCCCCCGGAGGTCTGGACCCCCTTCCCGAGGACCGGCTCATGAGCCCGAATCGTTGTGATGACGGTCCTCAGGCCCAGCGAGGGCCCCCCAGAGACCGGAACATGTGGGCCCAGCGAGGGCCCCAGAGACGGTCCTCAGGCCCAGGCCCTCAGGCCCAGGCCCAGTGAGATCGTTTTGATGACGGTCCTCAGGCCCAGCGAGGGCCCCCAGAGACAAAGACCTTCCGTCGTGAGCTGTGGCACAGCAAGAGGGAGTCTGGGTCCATGCGACGGCGGGGCCGCCGCTCCTTCACGCCTTTTCCAGGGCACATATGCTGGAAAAGAAGGGGGCGGGCATGAGGGGGGGGGGGGGAAGATCGCGCAAAGCCAATAGCTACTCCTTCACAGCTGCCCTCAAAATCTAATCCGACACTCACAACGGGGGGACATATGAGTACCAATACCGCTCCCCAGACCTCTTCCAGGGTGCGTGCTGGCCAGAATTTCGAGACGAACGCAGCCGTGGCGACGAGGGCCTCCAAGGAGGCCCAGAAAAGGCGAAACCGATGGAAGAATAACTGTGTCGGGACCTTTTTCCTCCTCTGACTCAGAGGGGGAGGAGGAGGAGGAGGAGGAGGAGGAGGAGGAGGAGGAGGAGGAGGAGGAGGAGGAGGAGGAGCAGGAGGGAGGAGGAGGGAGGGAGGAGGGAGAGGAGGAGGAGGAGGGGAGGTGGAGAGGGAGGAGGAGGGACGAGAAGGAGAGGAGGGGAGGAGGAGGAGGAGAGGAGGAGCAGGAAAAGGAGAAGGGGAAGAGGAAGAGGAAGAGGAGGAGGAAGAGGAGGAGGAGGAGGAGGAGGGGGATGAGGAGGGAAAGAGGAGGAGAAAGAAAAAGCTGCCGCTCCTTCAGGTGTTCGTCCTCCCCAGCCAGCAGCTCCACCTGCGAGCGGACCGCGAGCGTCTCGACCCCGCCCTCGGCCGACCGGGCGCGAAGGGCGCCGACGCCGCGCGCGGGGTGCCCGCCCTGCCCGCCTGGAGCGACCTGCTCCGCTTTCGCCCTCCTCACTCGTCCTCCTCCTCCTCCTCTTCCTCTTCCTCCTCCGCTTCCTCCTCCTCCTCCTCTTCCTCCTCCTCCCTTCCTCCTCCTCCTCCTTCCTCCTCCCCCTCCTCCTCTCCTCGTCCTCCTCCTCCTTCCTCCTCCTCCTCCTCCTCCTCCTCCTCCTCTCCTCCTCCTCCTCCCCCCCTCCCCCTCCTCCTCCTCCTCCTCCTCCTCCTCCTCCTCCTCATATTATGCTTATTATTATTCTTAGTATTATTGTTATTATTATTCTTCTTATTATTATTATTCTTACTATGAGTACTAAAAGTAGTCTTGTTATTCGTCGCCGGCGTCTGATTATGTTTATTATGTGTATTATCATTCTTTTTATTATTCGTAGTATTATTCTTCTTCGTCTTAGTATTATTATTCGCTTCGTATTATTATTATTGTTATTATTCGTATTCGTCTTCTTGTTCGTATTATTATTACTAGTAGTCTTGTTCTTATGCTGAGTAGTATTCATATTATGCTTAGTCGTATTAATATTATTTCAGAAGTATTGATATTAGTCTTATTATTATTAGTAGTATTATTCGTGGCCGTATTATCTTTAGTCGTATTATTAGTAGTATTATCATTCGTCTTCATTGTATTCGTCTTCTTCTTAGTATTAGTATTGTTCTTATTCTTATTATTCGTATATGCATTCGTATGATTATTCTTCGTTGTCATGTTATGTTCATTATTATTAGTCGTCGGATTGTTATTATTATTATTCGTCTTCTCCGTAGTAGTCTTCGTATTGTTCCTCTTATTCTTATAATTAGTACCATTATTATTCTTATTATCATTCGTCTTCGTCGTCTTATTATTCGAATTATTCGTCGTCTTCGTTTTCGTCTTATTCGTATTATCATTATTATGTGTATTAATCGTCTTCTTGTTAGTAGTATTCTTCATACTCTTATTAATTACTATCCTTAGTATGCTTAATAGTATTATTATCACTCTTATTCATCCTCCTCCTCCTCCTCCCCCTCCCCTTCCTCCTCCTCCTCATTCTCCTCCTCCTCCTCCCCCTCCTCCTCCTCCTCTTCCTCCTCCTCCTCCTCCTCCTCTTCCGTTTGCTCCCGCCTCCCTCCTCCTCCTCTTCCTCTTGCTCCCGCCTCCCGCCTCCCTCCTCCCTCCTCCCTCCCCCCACCTTCCGTTGGGGCCCTCCAGTGCCAAAATTGGTGGAAGGCTTGCCTCGGGGCCAGCGGCCCCGCTGGCCGGACAGCGCCGTCGATGGCCCCCTCAGGGAAATGCTCTGCGAGTCCGCAGGCGGAATCGAACACTCTCTCGCCACCTCGCGAATGATGGGTCCGAGCGTTCGCGACGGCCGCCGAGGGCGCGGCCGCCCGATCGACGAGGACGAAAGGCCCCCCAAAAGTTTACGCCCTTCAAGCGCGACAAGGGACGAAGAAACACCCCGGGCCCCGTGGGGGGCAGAAAAAGTTTAAAGCCTTAGAAAACATTTGGGGAGAGCAAAACGTATCCCCAGGACGACGTGCCCCCAGTGAGGTGCCGCAGCGGCCACGGTTCCAGCCACGGCAGGCGCCAAAACGCAGCCGTTGGGCGCCCCGAGGTGGGCCCTGAGGCCTCCCCTCCAGGGTACGTCTGTTCTGGCGTACGCTTAACCTCCCCTGACTTGGAGAGGCCAAACGGTACCGATACCGCTACTCCCCAGACCTCTCCTGGGGTGCGTTCTGACCCGAATTTCGAAGCGAATCCAGCGGTGGCGACGAGGGCATCCCAGGAGGCCCAAGAAAGGGGGAAACGGCCGAAGGGTAGAGGTATGAGTACCTCAGGGTGGGGGCCAGGAGTCCCGGTTAACCAGGGTGGTTGTTTCGCTCGGACTCGATATCTCGATATCTCGATATCTCGATATCGGGGGGGGGGCTCCATATCTCGATATCTCGATATCGGGGGGCGGGTCCTGGGGGAACTCGGTATCTCGATATCTCGATATCTCGATATGCGGGGGCGGGGCCTGGCGGGGACTCGATATCTCGATATCTCGAAATCTCGATATCGAGGGCGGGGCTGTGCGGAGACTCGAGATGTCGATATCTCCGTGCCGCGAGTGGGAGCGTTTCATCCGATACAAGTACCTACCGATGTCCACAATTTTGCAAACTGTGTCCAGAGGTCGAGATACCGAGATGCCGAGATACCGAGATCTCGAACTAATTACCAAGAAAGCGCCCCCAATGCCCCCATGACTTTCACTTTTTTAGCCCCGCCCGCCAGGGCCGCCCGCAAGGCCCCCGCGATATGACAAAAACCATATAGTCCAAGCAAAAGTGCTCGCTCCCGCCTCGGCGCCGCTCTCATTTTTGACGCAAGGGCTTCCGATGCACGGATTTTTTTTCACGCACGGAACGCATCCCCCCAAAACACCGGTGTCGTCACCGACCCGGTGTTTTCGAGGGTGGCGGCTTCCATCCCTCTCACCATTTTGTTTTTGCTGGAGAAACGCAATGATTGTGTTCAAGACGAGGATCAGGAGGAGGAGGAGGAGGAGGACGAGGATCAGGAAGAGGAGGAGGAGGAGGAAGAAGATGACGACGATGACGGCGACGACGACGAGGCCCACGGAAACCATAGCCCAGGTCGGGGCTCGGCGGATCGCTTCGGGCTCCTCGACGGTTGCGTCAAGGACCGGGGGGGTGGGGGAGGGGACGGTGCTTCTTTTCTCTTCCTTGAGAGAAGGCAAGGTGAGCAGCACCCTCCGCCTGCTCCTGCTCCTGCTCCTGCTGCTGCTCCTCCTCCTCCTCCTCCTCCTCCTCCTCCTCCTCCCAACCTTCCTTTGCCTTCTCCCTCCTGCTTGGCTCAAGTCGGCGTGCGCTCTCGCCCCGACTGCTTGCACCCTCGGATCTCGAGTCGGCGTGCGATCTCGCCCCGACAGGCCGAGCCTTTTGCCTTGCTGGCACGCCTGGGCGCCAACCGAGCGCATGCATGGATCGTGCGCGCAGCCGGTCGCCTGCCCGCCGTCGCCGGACGCACCGGGGACAGCGGCATCCGCTGATGGCTCTGTCCCGACTGCCACCATGGGCCCGGGAGGCTCTCCGCCTTTGCCAACGCAATCTTCCAGCGGTGCGAGCCCTCCGGGATACCATTCTCAGCTTCCTCATATGCGTCGACAGTCTCTTCCAGGAGCTCGAGGTGGAGGCCCTCCAAATGCGGGGGCGCAGCCAGGAGCCGCCCCGCTGGGAAAAAGTCCACTCCCACGCCGCGAGCAGCTTTCACAGCAGCAGCAGCAGCAGCAGCAGCAGCGCGACAACCCGCCAGGCGCCGTGATGCAAGCGCTTCGAGGCTTGTTCCAAGACGGTGACGATGAAATGAGGCAGGCGATAGGCGAAGCGATTGTTAGAGCTCAAGGGGGGGCCGATGAGCCAGGACGCCCCAACCCTGCCTTTGATTCTCGCGGCGCGCAAGGCCCCCGTGCGCCGCAAGCGGCCCGCGCAGCAGCCGCTCCAGAGCCGAGGCCGAAACGGTTGCGAGGCGTCGAAGCCGCCGAGGCAGCCGCGCTGCCAGGGCCAGCTGCCGCCCCTCTCGCGCAAAATAGCGCCCGCGCAGCCGCCACTCCGAAGGCGGCCGTCGCCCCTGCAAAGCTAGCCCAGCGCTTAGCTTGCGGGCGCACCGACCAGGCGCGTGTATGCCTCGCGGAGAGTCGCCTCTTCCAGTTCGACCCCTTGGACGATGCCGAACCTATCAAGGATTCGCCGCCGGCGCCAATTCGGGGGTTGCAGGCGACGCTTTCCGATAGTCCTGTTTACATCCTCGACGTGTTCACCAAGTACCGCGTCCCGCACGCAGACGTGGCGCCCATGCTGCCGTCGCCGAAGGAAGGCAGGTTCACGCTTGGGCGCGTGCAGACTGCCCGGATATCCGAGCTGTCTGACGCGCGCTTCGAGTACGTCTTGCACGTGGCGTCTGGTGCCAAGGGGGTCTCTCTTCAGAAGCGCCAGCCCGACGAGATGCCCGACGCGCGTCCAGGCCTCGGGCCAACCGTCATGTCGTGCCCCCACAGACATGTCCAAGCTAGTGCTGGCCCACAGACCGCGCAGACTGAGTCGTCGCCTCGGGCGGTTGTACCTGCAGGCGCGCTGCGCCACCAGAGCGATACGGGGCACGAGACGGCCCCCATGAACAGGAATGTTGGGCCCCACTTTGTTCTGGATGTCCCTTTACCCATCGAGTTCGACGCGCGTCCTCACAGATGCCGCTCGTGTGAGTGGGCAGGGGCTTCGGCGACTCGCTACGCGGACGATGGCGGCAGTGATGATTTGATCCTCGGCGATGTGGGCGGTGTCATCGACTTGATTGAGACCGAGAGTGAAGACGCGCCGCTTTGCACCGTCCCCGCGGGCAACCAGGGGGGCGCCGATGCCGACGAGTCAGTGCCGTTTGGCCCCAGGAACAAGCAGTACTTGACCGTGACTGACGAGGACATGCGCCAGGAGTTTCCTGGCGCGCTCAAGTTCACCCGCAAACGCTACGGCACGGTGTGGATGGCGCCGATGTTTGTGCTGGAGACGCTGCAAGGTTTCTACGAGTCGCTCAACGCACGAGGACTTCGGCGACACCTTGCCGCCATCTACTCCGCCAGTGCGCTGGCCTTTCAGGTGCGTGCAGACCGAGACGGCACGGCTCCGTACTCGTTCGCTTGGGCTTTGCAAGCGGTTCCGATCAACAAATACTTGCGAGTGGTAGTCTTGCAGGCCTCCGGCGCCTTCGTCGACGCCCGGGTGCGGATCATGCGTCGCGGACAATTTTTGTACAACGCCCAAGGCCTCCGGACCGACGGCAACTACAAGATCGCAAAGCTCATCTTACGCTGTCCGGGGGCCGACGCCCAGACCGTGGTCATTGCCTTTTGCGGGACAGACGGCAGTTTGCTGGACGTCCCCGCCCCAGCCACAGCGGAGACTTGGCCGTGCATCAAGCCGATATTGGAGCCCCTGCTGCGCGATATCAAGGATGTCCGAATGGCGCATGGGTGCAGCTTGCTGGATTCCCAACCGGTGTTCCACGCGACCGACACCTACGAGAAACACGCCAAGCTTCTTCGCCGACTGTACGCTGACGTGTGGGCTGGGCTGCGGGTCGCGAGCGAGGCGCCGACGCCGAAGGGCATGGCCGCGCGCAGGATGCTCCTCAGCTCGGACGAGATATCGGAGAGCTGCACTATGGGCGCTGCCCCCCTTGCCCTCTCTCAAGGAAGAGACAAGAAGCACCGTCCCCTCCCCAACCCCCCCGGTCCTTGACGCAACCGTCGAGGAGCCCGAAGCGATCCGCCGAGCCCCGACGTGGGCTATGGTTTCCGTGGGCCTCGTCGTCGTCATCGTCGTCATCTTCGTCTTCCTTCTCCTCCTCCTCCTCCTCCTCCTCCTCTTCCTGATCCTCGTCCTCCTCCTCCTCCTCTTCCTGATCCTCGTCTTGAACACAATCATTGCGTTTCTCCAGCAAAAACAAAATGGTGAGAGGGATGGAAGCCGCCACCCTCGAAAACACCGGGTCGGTGACGACACCGGTGTTTGGGGGGGATGCGTTCCGTGCGTGAAAAAAAACCGTGCATCGGAAGCCCTTGCGTCAAAAATGAGAGCGGCGCCGAGGCGGGAGCGAGCACTTTTGCTTGGACTATATGGTTTTTGTCATATCGCGGGGGCCTTGCGGGCGGCCCTGGCGGGCGGGGCTAAGGAAGTGAAAGTCATGGGGGCATTGGGGGCGCTTTCTTGGTAATTAATTCGAGATCTCGGTATCTCGGCATCTCGGTATCTCGACCTCTGGACACAGTTTGCAAAATTGTGGACATCGGTAGGTACTTGTATCGGATGAAACGCTCCCACTCGCGGCACGGAGATATCGACATCTCGAGTCTCCGCACAGCCCCGCCCTCGATATCGAGATTTCGAGATATCGAGATATCGAGTCCCCGCCAGGCCTCGCCCCCGATATCGAGATATCGAGATATCGAGATATCGAGTTCCCCCAGGACCAGGCACCCGATATCGAGATATCGAGATATCGAGTCCCCGCCCCCCCGATATCGAGATATCGAGATATCGAGTCCCCGCCCCCGATATCGAGATATCGAGATACCGAGATATCGAGTCCTCCCGAACCCCACCGGGACGCTTTGCGACCACAATGACCTTTTCCTCCTCTGCGTTCGGCCTCCCCCGAAACGCAGCAGTCACGCAGAGCCTTCGTGTAAGGACGTGCGACGCGACACCCGATCGGTTGGTTTTGCTCGAATGGGACCTGGCAAAAACAAAGGAACACGCTTATCTTATACCGTGTTCTCCTCTTGGGAGATCGTGGCCATAGAGGTCCAGGATGGGGGGATGCGTTGGGCCGTCGCGCAACACTCTCCTCGACAGGTAGGCTGCGATGGGCTCGAGGTGCTGCAATCGGCGCAGCACCGTAATTGTGCTGGTGTCTCCCGAGGTGGCCTGCGGTGCTCCGTTCATCCAGGGGCCCCGTCGTCAGGTCGCGTCTTTGCCGGTGTTGGTCCACCGGAGCCTGTCGGCGGTGCTCAGGCGCCATCGCTGCCTTCGCTGCGGGGGCTGCCGCCTCCTGTGCTGGTGGGGCCACCCCGGGCACCTGGGGTCGCGGCGCAGCCGCGGTGGCCCGTGCCGTCGGACGCGTCTGCACCCAGCGGTGGCAGATCTGGTCGTGGGCCAGCGAGATCAGGTCCACGATTCCTTGCCGCAGCATGCTGGGCAACGCCTGCGGTCGGCCACACCCTGTGGCGTCGGCTGTTGGACACTGCCGCCCGCGAGACCGTTAGTGCCGGTGAGCTTGCGGGCGCTGCTGGTGCCATGGTCGGTGCCATTGGTGGTTGCGCTCGCTGTTGCTGCAGCTCAGGTTGAGGGGCAGGCGCACTGTCGGGTCCAGCCTCCAACGCCTATCCCTATCCCTCTCGGAGCCCTGAATCTCTCTTTGGGATTGCTCTGGCAACGACTTCGACGCGGGCACAGCCGTGGCGCGTGCCCATCCCCAGACGCCGTGACGCCCTCCTCCATCCTCGCCCTCCTCGCCCTCGCCGTCCTCCATCCTCGCCCTCCTCGCCCTCGCCGTCGTCCTCCTCCCCGGGATGGCGCTCGCCCCACCCCAGGGGGCGGCGCTCGACGTCGTCGCTGCCGTCTCCTCCGAACCCTCGCGCCCGCTCGCCGCCCCCCTCTGCATCCCGTGCGCCCTTCTCCTCGCCCTGCGCCCTCGCCCGCCCAGGCTCCTCGCCCTCGCTGAGTGCAGGGGGGTCGGCTCAGGGAGGGAAACATCGACCTGGAAATTGACCGGGGTAATTGATCGGTTGTTCCACGGCACCCGAGGAGCGGGGGGAGGACGAGGAGGAGCGGGAGGAGCAGGAGGAGAAGAAGGAGGAGGAGGAGGAGGAGGAGGAGGGGAGGGGGGAGGGGAGGAGGAGGAGGAAGAGGAATTAGGACCAGTCCTGTTCGCCGGCGGAAGAAAGGAGGGGGGGATCCGAACGAAGGACCTCCTGAGGTTGCGTCGCCGATAGATCGGCGATAGGCCCATGGCAGCGAATCCGCTCGTTCCTGGGCGGGGTCTCGGGCCCCTGTCGGCGACGATTGGGCGACTGGGGGTCGATGCGCCCCCCCCCCCCGAGCCTATCCCCCGGTGGCTTTCGGGTCGAGCGCTTGGGCCCCGGGCGACCGTCTGGCACGATCCGGGCACCCCCAGAACGCTCTCGGCCAGGCGCGGCTGCTGGAAGGCATCCCGAGGCTGGAAAGCCGCCGAGAACACACGAAAGCGTCCGAGCCCCCCGAACCTCGAAACTCCACCCCCTGCCATCGCCCAGAAATCGATTCTCCGTGGTCGCGCGTGCCTTCTGTTGTTGCCGGATGCTCCAGGACATGTTCCTCGATCGTCGTCTCCGAGAAAGACGCACTCGCCCGGGAGATGCCGAGACCCCTGACGCTGCCCCGCCTCGCACACCTTCAGAACCCCCCCTCCTCCACGGGCCGGGGCGCGCGGGCGGGGTCGGGCTACACGCAAGAGCGACCCTGGGCAAGCGTGACCTTTGATACGCGGCTTTTGTGTGGGGGGCAGCGGGGTGACCAAACACGAGCGCGCCAGACGCTACTGCCGCATCGCACTCGGAGATCGGGGTACCCCAATGGG